CCCCGACCATCGGCGCCTTCATCGGCGGGCTGGCGATCCTGGCGCTGGGTTCCGGGTGGGGGAGCTACGTGCGGAGTCTCTGCGCCGTGTACGTTGACGCGGCACACCGCACGCGGTTGTATTCTATCATCTCGCTCGTCGAGACGGCGGGGCAGACATATACGCAGCCTATGCTTGCTGGCTTGTTTAGTCTGGGGATGAAGCTTGGCGGGGCGTGGATCGGGCTGCCGTATCTCGGCGTCGCTGGGTTCTGCGTCGCTGCTTTGGGGTTGCTTCTCATGGTTAGGCTTCCGCCTGCGGAGGGTAAGGGGGCGCATGCGTTGGGGGATGATGGTGAAGATGTTGGTGCGGGTGCTCAGTAATGATGGCTTCCTTTTTTTCTTTTGTTGGCTTTTTTGTGATTTTGTAAGAATTGGCGAGAATAAGATACCAAGACGTAGATTGTGTAGATCCCAGCACTTGAGCCTGGGAAAGAAATTCGAGAATAGAGAAGATTTGCAATACTCCCCTTGAAGACTGCGTTGAAGAAGTGTATCAAGCTGTTGGCGGTAGACCCCGGAGAGATTCCATAGGAGCCTGTCGTCTGCAAGAACAAGATCGGCGCAGGCTCTAGGAATGTCGTCCGCGTGAAAGCCGGCATTCGACGGTATCAGGTGGTGTAACCTACTTCCCGTAGAACAATTGATGAATAGGATTCAGATGCGTTTTGGCGGTAGCAAGACTGCGGTCTCCAACACTTTGAATGGTGATCTGCTCGACACGAGTCCTCTTTCCCAACGGCACTCTTGATTCACGGCGACCCTTAAATATATAGAATAAAAGTATCCAATGAGTCGCAGGCATGCGTTTGACGACGTACTACTGACGAATCATCGGATGAGAATCCGCCGTATTATCGCAGTCGATATGGAGCTCCTTGATACTGAGCAGCATAGCGCTAGATTTACAAAGTGCAAAGGGGGGGGGGGGCGGAAGCGATGTTTCTATACTAGGTCTAATTTCACCCAGCTTACTTATACGAAACCAACTGTCCAAGACTGCAGATACCAAAGAAGGGAATCATGTATCAACCAAATGAGAACTCACCATTCATATCGTCAACACCAACTTTTCCTCCCTCCCAATCCCCGCCTCAACCTCCGGCGTCCGACGTATCCCCAGAGACTCGCACCTTGCTGCAGAACCCTCAGGCAGCGATGGGACATACTCCTCTACCGTCCATCTTCAACGCCGTAAGAGTGTGACTGTACGCCATAGAAGGCCTCCTCTTGTCTCAATGGCCCTCATCGAAAAGCAATCCCCTCATTTGCGATGGGTAGTGATGAGCGACAATGGAGTCAGTGCCTGAAGTTCCTTACCTTAGGTACGCAGTAGTTTGAGTCTTAGCAAACGGGTTTTATTACCCAGGATATATCTCCACCTATCTGTGATTTTTGGCCAATGAGCACATGGTTTTCACCACGGGCCTTTGGCTTAGTGGAAGCGTCTGATCATCAACTCCGGATATATTGAGTTCTACAAAGCAGAATCACTTGCTTGCCTGCTCGCCCATTTTTCAATTTTGAGCAGACAGAATCATGGAGTCAATAGACACACTGCTACAACTGTGTAGATAAATCAGTGCGATACGCAACAGTACGTACGAGCTCACCTCGAAGGGATGTGCAGCGGGTGGCAGCCGAGGATCGCGGGGCGATCTGCAGGGCGTTGGCGCCCTCTCTCCCGGGGCCGGGGGTCGAATGGTGGGGCACAGCCACAGCGACCAACGCTGCCCACAAGATGACGGCGGACGCTGAGAGCCACTTGTCCATCGGCTTCAAGGGTCTTCCCCAGCGGAGGGCCGTTTCAGACGACAGGGGCAGCGCTTAGTCGTACGTCATTTCCATTGGGAGAAGAGAAGGGGAAAAAAAGGAGGAGGGCGAGGTTCCTGGCTCATCCTGCGCATATATGCAGTCAGACTTTCCCATCAGGATCTGATCTGCAAAGTTTGACCTTGGTTCGAGTCCAACTGTCGAAGCAGATCAAATCGCCATCTTGACCGACTGGCCAGTCGATAGTGACCACAGCCGATATTCGCGTGGCGGCTTCACTCGTTCAGCCTTATCCCTCGAGACTCCCCTCCAGTCTACCCCTTAACAACAGTATTGCTCGATCCTGCATCTCTTCTCGAAAAAGACGACAGCTCCGACGAACTTCTTCGATTCCACCACCGAAATGTCCGTCTTTGACAGTCCGAATTGCACCGTCGCGGAGAATGCACCGGTCGCCAGCGATGCCGGCGTGGCCGGCCGAGGCGTGCTCCTCTCCTTCATCATCACAGCCGGTCTCGCTCTCATCATTAGTTCCTCCATCATCTTCCAAGAGATGAAGGGAAACCCGTCAAACATTCGTCGGAAACTTCTCAACAGTTATTCAGATCAGCAGATCCTCCAGGGCATCGGAATCGCGTGCGTCGGGCTCGCCAGGATCAACGTCATGGTCCCCTATCACTTCTTCATTATTTGGATGCTCTCAAATCTCTCCATGGCCGTCCACAATGCGACGCTTCTCGCTCTGGTCCACGATTTCCGCCGAGATTGGGTGTTGCGATGGCTCCGCCAATTCCTCATGTTTGTCAATTTAACGCTGAACGTCGTGTATGGCGTCTTCATCCTGCAAGGCGTATCAAAGGGTATGCAGGAATCCAAGCTGCCCGTTGCTTGCGTGTGGGTGGTCGGCGACGAGGGAAAAGGAAGCCAACAAGGGATCAGCTACGTCGGCACCGTTGTTGTCATCATCGCGAACGCTCTCGTCTTTGCTCTGGCAAGCTGGTACCTCCACCTGCGGACGCAAAAGTTCATGAACATTATCAAAATTATCGGCATCCTTCTTATGGCAGCGTCGGCTGTTGGCGCCGCGGTTCGATGCATCATTGCTTCTGATGCCTTTGGCAATGGCCCTTCGTACGAGCTGAGCGACCAGGGCGAGAGAGGTTGGGGTTTCGGTCAGCTGCTGTCGCTCCTCGTGCTGCTGTTCCCCCTTGTGTCCATGGTGGAAATCATGCGCGGCGATATCAAAGTAGCGCCCTGCGACTTTTCAGACGGAAAGATGGGCGACAGCACAGAGATGGGCAACTACCGGTCGTCGTATCAGCCCAACCCGTTTTTCGGCTCGCAGACAAATCTCTTCAAGAGGGGGGTTTGAAGCTGGTGTGATTGTACAAAGGGAAAAGGGAAATGAAGACACAATCCAGAAGTGGACCTCATCTGGTGATATCGTTCCCCGTCAATTGAGAAAGCAGAGCCGAGCCAAGGGTCTGTCTATCTAGTTTGTGAAGACGGCATAAGGGACGCGCGTGGCTGCAAGGATCTCGTATACGGAGTAGGGGCACCCGCCATTGCTGCTGTCGATACTCGGAACGTAGAAGGGCTGCTGGAAGCTAGGGCTGCGAACTACTGGTGGTGTTGATTGAAGAGGAGGCAGAGGTGGAGAAGGACATTCGGAAAAGCAATGATACCCAGGATAAGAGCGCCACATGGTGAGGAGTTGGTGGGAGCGAGCAGTGGAACAGACGGCGCGGGAGGGCGGGAATGAAGGTTATCAAGTTAGCGCGTCTCGACATTTTTCAGCTGTTGGTCGTTAGCCAAAGTTAGCTTCCCTTTGAATTAGGGGTAAAAGGTGTCTCGAGGAGGACTGACAGGACTGGACAATCTGACACGATTGTATCACGAGCAATAGCGAGGCTTTATTGGACGCCACCGTCGGACCTGAATGCCATTCTAATGCAGGAGAATAAAAATGCATTTTCTCGTCGGTTCCGCTTTGCGACTACAGAAGAGGACACTTTGGAGGTTGAGGCAGATATCCTTACTACCGTAGCTTCGCACCGAGGGGAAAGAAAGAAAGGAAGCGCCTGATACTTCGATGCGGAGTATTGGATAACAATTGATCGCCCACCTTCTCCTGTTCCCCGGTATCCCGCACATCAACCTCCACTATTCTATGCTGCCTTCGTGCTTCCCCGTCCCAGCTTTTGAACTCTAAATGCAGTCGGAGTCCCTCAATTGACCGAACTGCGTCACGTGCATTCGACAGAACGGCACTTTCCCATCCATGTAGCTGCCAGTCGGCACCTGCCCTTGGCCCTTTGAATGGTAGCAGCCAAGAATAAGATGCCTCCTTCCCAAGTGCATCGGCCATTTTGAGGCTAGTCAATCAGTTGAATACTCTGGGCTTGGCTGGGTATCCCCACTCTCGACGCCAAACACGACATGTTTCGGTGCAGTACTAAATCTATCTCGGACACAGCAAGAAGTATGCCCTCCAGTGCCTCCACAGATACAAGGCGAGAAAAGGTACCCCGTACCTACAAGTCAACAAGATGCACTTTGGCTTCTTGGGAGGCGCTTACCTGTGGCACTTGCCATCTTTTCTAGCCTGTTCCTGAGGTACCTTCTCAAGTGCCATCCATCTCTTCCACATTTCAGAGTTCCTTCCAATGGCACCCAAGGAATGAGCGAACAATGTAGTTCCTTCCCTCTCCCAGGTATGGACCCAAACCCCTCGCAAGTCGCAAGGAAGGGAGGCAGAGACACACGCCTTGGCTCCCTGCCCGTTCCTGCCCGTTCCTGCCCCGAGAATGCCACACTCAACGTGCTGGATCATCACGGGAAGTCACTCAGGGCAGGCGTGGCAGTCACGCAGTGCAAGCAAGTGCAAGTTCAGTCTCGTACCTCGGTGACTTCCTCGTCTCGCCGTCCTTCCGCCTTTGAATCTCGAGATCCGCAAGGGTCTAGAAGTCTGGAGGGAGGAACCTGGCCGCCACCCCTCCCCTTCCATTCACACAATGCTCCGGTCCCTCTGTCCCCATCACACGACGGCCGACGACTGCCCAGTCCAAGGAACCTTAAGTAGTCGTCTATAAGCTTCCTCTTTTTCCTGCTCTCGCCTCGTCCTCGTACTGACGTTTTCATCCATCCTTGGCGTGACTCGTCTCCTTTCCCTTTATCTCCTTGGCCTCCTCACTCTTCTTCTTCCAGTCGCTCTCTTGGCACTATTCGAGAGATCTGCGCAAGTCCACTTCGTCCGCCCGTGGCTTGCCCTTCTCCCCGCGCCGGCTGCTGACCAGCGCTGATTGCGGTTCTTGTTCTTCTCATTCACTTTCTCCGTGACGCCCATCGTCGTGCCTTCATCGATACTGTACCCCTCGATTACGTGTCGATTCTGTCCACTTCCGCCAGAGTGACAGCTGAGCCTCCGCGAATCGACTTATACACTCGAATTCCCAGCAAATCTCCAGAAAACCCCAGTCACAAAAGACAACCTCTTGATAGCAACCATGGCCCTCGCTGCAGGCTCCAAGCGCATGGTGCAGATGCTATGGCTCGCCGCCGGTCTGCTCTTCACCCTCGCTCTGCTGCACTCCCTTGGTAGCCCTGATAAGGCCAAGGAATGGGCCAGCAACAAGGTCGGCGCCCTCGTGAACAACGATGGCGGTCGCAACACCATGAAGGAGTTCATGGCCACTGCCGAGTCCATTTGGGCCAAGACTGTCAAGCAGCGTCACGACATGATTGCTGAGGACTACGGTGATGCCTCGTTGATGCCTTTGTAAGCCACCTCCATTTCGCCGCCGCCGCACTCCCCGTATCCACTAGATGAGGATTCGATGCCGACACCGTCGTAGATTACATGGCTAACCAATATTCCCACCAGGTTCCCTGCCACCGACCCCGCGGCCTACGGAAAGCACCCTTACTCCGTCTGGGACTTTGCCCCGGCCTCGTACAGCTGCCCTCACGAAATGGAGCGCGTCGGACGTATGGGAGACGGCGGCAAGTGGGTGTGCGGCATGTCGAGATATGTCAACTTCCCCAGAGACCGCGAGTGTGTCATCTACTCCTTTGGTGTCCGTGATGAGTCCAGCTTCGGTAAGGGTCCCTTGCATGCAATATGGCAAACACCTATTTCCCTCTTTGTTTGAACAATCACTGATAACGCACCTCCAGAGAACGAGATGCTGAGCCGCACCAACTGTGTTGTCTGGGCCTACGATTTCTCCGTCGTCGACTTTGGTGAGCAACTCGAGCCCGGCAACCGTGCCAGAGCCCACTTCCTCCAGGCCGGTATCTCTGGCAAGACGGATAAGACCAAGACGCCCCCCTTCTACAGCATTGCCGACCTGATGAAGATGAACGGCCACGAGTACATGTACGTTCCATTTACGCTGAAGTAATAACGATCATCCACTAATACCACACCAGTGACATCTTGAAGATGGACATCGAGTTTGCCGAGTTCGAGGCCATGGACGGTTTCGGCGAGGACTTCCCCATCCGCGCCGGCGAGGAGCTCCCTGTTGGCCAGCTTATGATTGAGATTCACTTCTTCAACGGCATGACTGCTTCTAACTTCCTCGACTGGTGGGAGCGTCTTGAGTCCCGTGGTCTCCGCCCTACCTGGACCGAGCCCAACCTGCTCGCCGTCACCCTGAACTTGGGCAACAAAGACCCGCTCCTTGCCGAGTACACCATGATCAACGTCCACGACAGCAAGAACGTTGTCTTTGGTGGCAGACACTAAGTGGGCTATGTAAACATTACTTTGTTATTGCTGGCTTGATAGGGAGCGTACTGCACGGGGCGAAAATGTGCATCGTCACTGGCGTTATTTACAGTAGATCGGTCAACATGGGAAACTCGTTTCAATAAGTGGTTGAGTCTTGCCTGCCTGTGCTATCAGTGAAATCGTACGATGCCCTACAATCGCTCTGCCAATCATAGTAGAGCTAGATGGATTGAAGATTCGTGGTATCACAGCAGATCTGCGAGTGTCCCATAGTCAATCCTCTTCTGACAGGGATGCCAAGACGCGCTGGTTCGCCGAGATTGTGACCTCAATCCCTCGCTAGCTGGAGAGGTGGCTCGGTAAAATTCATATTGCAGATGTAGCCAACGAATCGCAGAGCAGTAAACATTGTGGAGGGTTTTTCAGGGGTCTGACCAAATCTTATCGCGAACGTCTGGTCTTCACGAGAGTGTACTGTTGCAGCTTGTCAATTGGGCATTTTCACACCCCCAAATTACCTGAGGGATTGAAAAGTGTAAGAATGGATGGGTGGTCTGCAAGATGGTTTGTCACTAATTCCCCTTGAGCCCAGACCTTAAGAATTCTATCCTGTATCGCTCTACGGCGAACTACATACAGTAAGTTTAACCTGAACCAGAAGTCAGTTTTCTTAGTACGGAGAGCTCCCCGGTTGTCCATCGAATCACTCCATTTGAGTAGGCATGGTTGGAAGGGTTCATCCGCTGCCGTCGCATACATACTAAGGATTGGTCAAGATGTGTTCACTAGGGCTTAGCGAGGCAGTCATGTCACTCCATAGAATAACTTTGAAATATATCAATAGTAAGTGAGGTATCATTATTATCTTTTTTTTCAGTAAATTTCCAACAGCATAACGGCAAAAACAACCCCGTCCTTTTATTGCACGACACATTTGCTGGGCAGACCGCATGGTCCGGCCTTGACATCCTTGTCGTCCAACTCCTGAGGGGCCTTTCGGGTCTCCGTCGCCGGAGCCGGCTCCTTTGCTGCCGGAGCCGCGGGGTCCGCCTTCGCCGCCGCCGGCTTCTCGGATCCGTTCACCCCATTCGCAACGGCGGTAGCACCACCGCTCTCGCTGCCATGCAGTCAACCGACGTGCTTGGCGACAGTGTGGTAAAATGCCTCGCCCTGGATCGTAGCAATCTCCAGCTCCTTCGCCGAAGGCTGGCGCGATCCATCAGCGCCCGCGAAAGTACCCGCGCCCCAGGGGCCACCACCGTGGACCTCGGACAAGTCCGCCATGAGCGGGAAGGCCTTGGCATACCCGAACGGAACGTAGATGATGCCGTGGTGGGCGAACGTCGACATGGCGGCGATGGCGGTGGACTCCTGACCTCCGCCGAGGGAGGCGGTGGAGATGAAGAGGCCGGCGAGCTTGCCCCAGTAGCCTCCCGTGGACCACTGCTTTCCGGACTTGTCCCAGAAGGCCTTCCACTGGGCGGGGAAGTTGCCGTAGCGGGTTGGGATGCCGAGGAGGAAGGCGTCGTAGGATTCGAGGGTGGCGGGGTCGTCTAGGACGGGGACGTCTGTTGCTTTTGGGGGGGCGCCCATTTTGGTGAGGACCTCTTCGGGGAGGGTCTCTGCGACTCTGTTGTGTGTTAGTCATGGCATGCTGGTGTTTATGTGTGTACGGGCAAGGCGTGTCGTGAGGGTGAGGTATGGGTGGGAGAGACGTACTGGAAGAGGTCGGCGGTGCCGCCGGCCTTCTCGATGCCCTTCTTCTCGGCCTCGGCCAATTGGCGGATGTGGCCGTACATGGAGTACTGGAAGATCGTGGTGTTAGCCGGACGGTCATAATGTCAAGGGGGGCTATTCTTCGGGAGTTTGGGATAGGGAAGCGATGGGTGTGAGGTGTGTAAGGTGGGGTTCAGGGCGCTCTCGTGCGGGCAAACAGGCCGTATCATGGTGTCATTAACGGCGTCGGCAGAGGAAGCCGCGCAACCGAATGGAATTGGAATGTGTGTGTGTGTGTGTGTTCATTTCATTGTGTCTTTGAGATGGTGATGGCAAATTTTCAGAGGCATTGGAGCACTCAATGGTTGAGACTGTGGTGTGTGTGGTGGGAGAGTGAGGTGAAGTAAGGTGATGTGGGGAAGGGGGGAAGTGACAAGAAATTACCCGATTAGGAAAGAAGTGCTAGGTTGTAGTAAATAGTGGACTTACGTAGACGATGGCAATCTTGGGAGCCATTGTGACGGATTGATGTCTTGTATGGAGATAAGGGAAAGGAAGAGTGAATTGGTGCTCAATAGAGAGATGCTGGGTGTAGATATCGAGACAACAAGAGGGGGAGGTCGTGGCCTTATATCAACATGAACAGGCGCGCGCAACCCCCGCCGAGCATACGAGACAGAGACAAGGTGACAAGCAAAGATGTGAAAGAGAGGGGAACGAGACGGGCGTCTTGCATCATCAATGGCACGCTAGGCTGGGCAAAGCCACTGGAAAGACTTGATGGGAGTCGGACGAGGGAAGAGAGAGAGGAGAATGCAGAATGGGGCTGGGCTGGGCCAGTCGGGTACCCTTGGGATGCGGTTTCATCAGGCTCATCGGCCTAGTGGGAATTAGCTACAGTAGAGCCATTGAGACTATCCGTACACGAGAGATATGCTGCCATGGCTGCTCATGTAAGGTGAAGTCAGCAAGACGACGGACGCAGTTGGAAGAGGTGGAGGAGATGTGGTGGTGAGGTACCTGGAGCTTTTGCAGGAGGTGGGGAGCTAAGGTAGAGTTATACGTACCGCTGGTGTCTGCCCCTCTCTGCGGGTCTGTGCTCCACTGAGGGGCAGGGGAGGGGTTCATGTCCTTTCCGTTGCCCGTAGGTATCATTTTGACAAGTACCTTGCTTCATTCATCTTCCAAACTGTTTGCTAGTAGGTACCTTGAGAAGAGTTCAGTTCGCGGGTTTGACGACGGCATCGTAGGTTCGGTCAACGGACGGAAGGACCGATTAAGCATCAATCGGGTGCGGGCGAGATGGAATGCGACGGGCTCTTCAAGATCATGGTTTGTTTTGGCGTTGGGGTGTGATAGTCCCGAAGAACACCCAAACGACCATCCGTAGACTGTAGTAAGGTAACCTAGGTACGTACGTTACCCCATCCGAGCCCTGTCAAGCTACCTTACCACCATACCTTGCTTCATCTGCACAGCATCCAATACTACCTACGTAAGGTGGTGACAGCCGGGGAGACCACGGCCAGCAGTTCGCAAACGGTCAGGGCGGGCCGGAGAGAGAAAGTGACAAAAAGTGTTGGTGTGTGGGTGCTGAATAAGTGCTTAACAACCCCAGCTCAAGCTATCATAAGCCTTACCAAATACACGGGCAATCCCTTCCATGCCCATCGATAAGCTATGGATACCAAAAGTCGTTACGCCATGACAGAACGGCACTTGTTTGCTAGCCTACGGGGTGAGCTTCTAGATCCTGGTCTTCGGGGAGAGCTACCTAGCTGCGAGGTAAGCTTGGTAAGGTAGAATACAGATGGAATTAGAGGTTTTCGGATCACGGATTAAGAGCGGAGGAGCCTCGGATCCAAGGCCTGCCACCATCAGAAATGGTGTACCCCGTAAGGCTTTGGTGATGACCAACTCGCGCGCGCGCTGAAACCCTCGATCAAGTGGAAATCACTCGAGCGGCTCGCCAAGTTTGTAATCTCGTTGAATTGCTCTATCAGCCAACACGGGCGACAACAAGGTGCAATGTACATGTCCTGACCCAGTAGATAGAGAGACGGTGAAGGGAGACTAGGCTCATCTCAACCTCATCAGCCGATGCATAGTACTGAGATGTACGTACTGGCCTAGCCAAGGTACGGATACCTCACTGGACGAGATTAGTAGTACCTGACAAATGAGCTACCGCCGTCCCCCCACGAAGCTGACAGGTACGGCCACGGCCACGGCTACGGCCACGGGTGACGGAGCCGACAGATTGAGGATCGATGATCGGAGCTGCAGAAAGCACGGGCCAAAAGTACAACAATACCTGTACATTCCAACTTTAGTCACGGCCAACAGCTGGCAGCTGTCACTATTCACACTGCGAATCTTTTGGCGCGCGGGAATAAGAAGCCACAGAACGCCAAAGTAAGCGTTGCTAAGCTGCCGCCCAAGCCATCATCCAAGGCTGAATCAGCACCACACATCAATATACGGGGCACCAGGACCGTCTCCGCTGAATTGATAGGGCGGAGCTCTCCCCTGCTTGCATACAACTCGCTGGCAGCTGCATGTTCCTAACGCCCTACCGCGGTTCTTCGTCCCCGCTGGCAAAGGGGCTCCATCCTCTTGCAGAACGAACTTCTGACGCTGGAGCTCTATCATGAATCATTTTCTTCAAAGGAGAGCAGGGTGACACCGTTTGAATATCGATTGGAAGTTTGGACTTGGCGTTGAGCAGTTTGTCATCCGCGTGTTTTGGTGATAATACCAGGCAATCGGGATCTGCTCGTCGTTCTCGTTCTCGGAACATGACTTGAGGATGGAGCATCAGCCCCAGCGGTGCGAGAACGAGGTTTATTCATGACGTTACGGGGGATAAGATATCTTCCATTGTTGCTGGACTTTCCTGCTCTCCATCTTTACTTGCTTATCTCGCAACAAGGGTTCACTCTACCTTACATTTTCATGCCCCATCCTCGGCTGAGAAGGACCCTTATGAAGAACAGCAACGTTCAAAATCATTTGTCTCATCGCAAGACTAGTTGTCAGTGAAGCAGCCATTGGAGCGATACGATATTTCCGTTGAAGACGGAGGTTAACTGAAGGAGAGACATCGACCAGCCTTTTCTCCCGATACAGTACCACGTCTTAATGTCTCTCTAATCTTTGTTCCCTTGACACCCACAAAGAAAGTCAACATTATCTTCTGACAATTGCAGATTCCTCAGGCGTCCTAAGCATGGACAGCAATGGCCAACATGATGTGATGAAGCAACCAGCAGACTTGCAGGCCTCTTAAATCCTCAACAGCCTGCCCGCAGCTCTTTGGCTCGCGCCAAGTCGTTTACCAAGAAACGCCGTCAATTGGTTTCTACACCAAACTAGTGTTTGGCGATGGGCTGCCAACGGAGCTGACGACTAGGTCGATACTTGATATTTCCTCTTTAGGCAACCAGCTTGTCAACGACAGGTCTGACATCAGCACAGAAAACTGCATCTAGTCAGTCCAGCTGATTATTCCCCCCTCACATAATGCGTTGAAGGGAATCTGATGACTTTCTTTCTCTTGTTTCTCCTTTTCACTTTTTGATCATGAAGTGAGTAGCCTACTGCCAGGAGACTACACCAACACCACATCTCCAGAAACATCAGGTGAATCACCAGACCCCCAACCATGGGCCAGGAAGCCTCCAAACCAAAACCCGGCACCCGCCTCCAAGTCATCGGCGCGGGCCTTCCCCGCACCGGAACCGCCTCCCTTGCCAAAGCCCTCGAAATCCTCCTCTCTGAAGACGACGGGGCCGGTGCCCCCGTCCACCACGGCGGCACCCAACTCACCCACGGCCCGGAATCCGAGATCCGCTCCTGGATAACCTGCCTATCCCACACGCCCACCCGTACCGCCGCCGACGAGAAAGTCGTCCTCGACACCCTGACCACACACTTCCACGACGGCTACGCGGCAGTCGTCGACGTCCCCGGAATGCTCTTCACCGAGGAACTCGCCGCGCTGCACCCCGACGCCCTGGTCATCTGCACCGTTCGCGATCCGGAGGCGTGGGTGCGGAGTATTCGACAGACGGGAGAGCGGAGCCTGCAGGCTTTTCTGTCGTTTGCGCTGTTTTGGCTGCCTACGATGAGGTGGTTTCCGCAGTATATTGATGCTATTCCCAACGGTCGGTGGGGGGAGTTATTTCCCCCCGAAGAAGGGGATGGGGTGCTGCCTACGCGACGGGTGTGGGACTTGCATCAGGCTTGGGTCAGGAGAGTTGTGGACGAGGAGAGGTTGGTGTTTTATGATGTTAAGGACGGGTGGGGGCCGTTGTGTGAGGCTTTGGGGAGGCCGGTGCCTGGTGTGCCGTTTCCTAGGGTGAATGATGGCGATGCGATTGATAAGTTTGCGAAGGAGCAGATTATCAAAGGGTTGGTGAGATGGGTTGTGGTGTTAGGGAGCGTTGCGGCTGTAGGTTGTGGGTGGTGGTGCACAAGGTGAGTATCGAGAAGAAGTTAACGACCAGAATTAAACAAATCTCATCTATTCGCAAAGGGGTATATAGTCCAACTACAAGAAATATATCCATCTGTACCTCGTCAACCATCATCAACGACTCTCAAGCCTTCAGATCCCTCCTCTCCCCCTTCAACTGAAAGATCTTTGCCGCGGTAAGCACCATCGACCCAACCGTCAACGCCGCCGCTCCATACCCGATCATGGACTGCCACGCAACACCGCTATAGTCACCCAAGATGGCACCGGCAATCGGTGTACCGATCAAGATGGCGATACCCGCCACAAAGTTAATCATGCCCATGCGCGTGCCGACGCGCCCGAGGTCAGGCGACAAGCTCACAATCACCGTCGGCGAAATGCTCACCATGCCTCCGGAGAACAACCCATACAGGATCGCAAACACGACGAGACCCGCCATGTTGCGGATGCCGAGCCACGCAAACATGAGCACGGCTGAGCCCGCGGCGACGGAGATTTGCATGTACAACGCGCCGACCTTGTCCGCGAGGTAATTCGGGATCACGCGGCCCGGGATGCTCCCCGCGCTCAGCAGCGTGACAAAGTATGACGAAAAGTTTGCGGGACCAATATCGTGGCTGACGGCGAAGAGCTGGATGTAGAAGTACGGCACGTACATGGCCAGGAACCCGACAAACGAACCCGCCATGACGAGCATGAAGGCCGGGTCACGGAGCGCGGTGCGGTCGACGAGGGAGCGCTTGTGGCCCGATGGCGGGAGGCGCGTGTGCATGCTCACGGCGGGGATGACGGACAATCCCAGGAGGATAAAGGCCATGATGCGCGTGGCCCAGCCGAAGCCGATGCGGGGCTCGAGGTGGCCGAAGAGGATGGGGAAGCACATTCCCGCGATCGGGGAGCCCGTCGCCGCGAGGCCGATGACGAGGGCGCGGCGGCGGTGGAAGTATTGACTCAGGATCGCGGTGGAGGGGAGGAAGACGAGTCCGCAGCCTAGACCTACGCAGACGCCCTGTGCGAGGAGGACCTGCCAGTAGGTTGTGCAGAGGGAGGTCATGAACATGCCGAGGATGATGAGGGTGATGCCCGCCCAGACGAGCTCGCGGAAGTAGCCTGCGTCGTACAAGGGACCCGAGATGGGGCCGACCATCATTAGCAAGGCGCCCTGGAGGGACCCGATCCAGGAGATGGCGGAGGGGGTGACGCCGGGGAGGGTGCGTTCGTAGTAGGTCTGGTAGACGCCGAACGTGTTGACGAGGCCCCAGGTGTCGGCGAGGATGACCCAGGAGCCGAGGACTTGGATCCAGGCTTCGAGGCCGCCGTCTGGGACGGGGCCCGGGGTGGATGTCGTTAGGGGTTCGGCGCCGGCTGCGAGGTTTGCTTGGGGTTCCGGGTCGGCGGGGTCTGCGGGTGTGAGAGTTGTTTCGGAGGGGGTTGTTGAGTGAAGGTCCGGGCCGGAGCCGGACTTTTCGGTTGTGGTGTCTGTGTCTCGGACGGTCATTGTGGGTGTAATCTGTATTGTGTCTGTTTTGTTTGTTGCTGTTCAGACAAGTAGGTGTGTCTTGCTTGATATCCTTGGTTTGATGAGAGAGGTTGCTCAAGTACTTCTTGGCGGACCGACTTGTTGTTGCAACGTTGGGTGGCGATCTTTGGTCTACAAGTTGCGACGCGCTATTACGACACGAGTGTGAAGGAGAGCGTCTTTCAGGATAGATTAGACATTAAGTATGAGTGTAAGCCCTTGCATCAAGCGATCATGGATGGTGGGAAATCGCCGAAGATGGCCTTATGGTCGTTCCAAGCCGAGAAACTCAAATATAGAACAAGCAGTACCAAGAAGAAGGAAGAAACCATGCGGTATGGATGAAGAATCCCATCGGGTAGCAGTGACGGCAAAAGGAGTAAAAGAGTGAATGCGAGAGAGCTGCGTGGCGGACAGTCACAAGTGGACTAGACCATAGTCAGACCAGACAAGACCCCTTGACCGGATATAAACTTGGCTCGAAAGAGGCTGAAAATGGAGACCGCTCATTGCACCACCGAGGTCCACTCTTTCGTACACCATCCTTGGTGTTGGGTCCAGAGTGGAAGGGTGCCGACAGGAAAAAAGGAGAAGACTTCCATGCAGAGAAAAAAGGATTATCAAAGGGCTCCGCCGCCACTGGGGTCCCGATAGGGCGGCAGGCAGGCGGGAAGTGGTGGTAGGTGGAATCGGCGCGTGGTGCCGAACGGATGAGCCCGGCCAACACTAGGCTGCTAGTTGGCGGCAGGGCGCTTGTGACGGGACAGCTCATCAAGCGTTGCTTTGCTGTTCATGTTGACGCCGGTAAGGTCATTGGAGTCCAAGGATACGGTAGTTGTGCATGTTGTTGATGTTCTGAGATGGTATAGACTCGTCGCTGGACGGTTGTATTTGGTGAATGATGCTGTTGTCACCGATATGAGAAGCAACATGTTCGTCCAGACCTGCTGAATATGAACTCAGATAGACTATTGGAAAGAGAAGAAAAGCATCAACAGATGCAAATCACAACAACACAGAAAGACTGAGATTGCCGACATCAACTCCCGCTCTGGAGCCGTCTCCGCTGTTCTGAATCCCACCGGGGGGCTCTGTGCTCCACGAGTCCACGATACGTCGATACCAAGAGGAAAGTGGAATGATTTTGGTCGACAACGATAGCGGCCCGATTCCTGTCAGATTCGAGAGTCAGGGTTCAGACTTTTTTTTTTCCCTTGATCCATCTCGGCGCTTGCGCGATCGCCGAGGCCGGTGATCCACTCCGATATCTTCATTCCAGGATCGAATTTAGATCCGAGATAAGGGCGTTCAGCATCAGATGTTGGGATTGGTGAGGAAAGGTTTACATATTCAGATACTCATTGAAGGTCGCTTCTTGTGATGGGACGATGATGTGAATAACGTTGGGAATAGTATTGATGGGACGAGAGTTTGTCGATCCCGAAAGTCAAACAAGAGCTTATTTCTGCGAGCGGCTTATTAGCGGCTTAGGTTTTGCGCCACACACGGAAAGCACGGCAGCCGCAGTGACACCGCTAGCTACTTATTCAACATTTTGGTCGGCTGAATCATCAACAGGTAACTTGGCCGAGCGGTCTAAGGCGCCAGACTCAAGCTTCAAAAGCTTCATCCGTCCAACGGATGAGCATTCTGGTCTCGCAAGAGGCGTGAGTTCGAATCTCACAGTTATCATTTTGCCGTTTTTACTCGATGTAATGATGCATCTTTTGCCCGTCTTTCGTTTTGTTACCTTGCCCTCCCCCCTTTTGAATGGTGTCGATGAACTTTGCCAATTGCCGCCAGTTTGAGAGAAACCTCCATGGATGGGTCTCTGAATGCATTCTGAAAGTACATTGCAAGTGAAATTTAGCCACCAAAACTTCAGGGTCCCTCCAAATTCTGCTCTGCGTGTTCTTTCAGCAACCAGTACTCTAGATATCTGCCCCCAGGAATGGTGGAAAAAATTAGTCGTGCGATGTAAGCCTGACTTTGGCTGATTGAAATGTTTGCTGGTGTTGACAGAAACTCTCACCAAAAGGGGTCAAGAGTGGTCAATTCGTCAAAACCTTGACGACATCCCACTTGCACACCGCAACCTCGCTTTCAATACGGCTTCAAGTTTTCGAAGTGACAAAACAATCAAAGATGACGAATGCGCCATACAAACAACCACCCATAAACAATCCCCCGTCCCTTGGGAAATCCACCGACCCCGAACCTGACCACCCCGACTGATGATTGACGCAGCCTGCAGCCCTGCACGGTCCCAAACATGCTCCCGCGCTCCGCTCACCTCATACACAAAGTGTCGGAGCTCCTTTCAAATCATCCAACGCGCCGCGCAACCACTCAATGAGGCATGCGCCGGCGCCCTCCTCGATATCAAACCAGGGCTCCCAGATGTGTGTGGTGTTTCAAAACACAGAATGCAAGGGCGGCGGGTGAGGTCGCACAGTCGCCCCCTTCCCATAGTTAGCAACGTAGGCTGAGGCACTCGGAGACGTGACATTCTGCTGGTCAGATTCCGTACATAGTCCTTGACATTGCAAACCCCGAGTAATCGGGAATATCATATTTACCTGCCATCTACTCGTTTGAATATCGTACAATTCCCTTTCTTGTCACCAATCCCCCGAGAATCAGAGCTGGCGCTATGAAACCCAGCAATACACCCTACTCCGACGCCCGTCGAGAGGCAGACATCACCGACGATGCCATGACCGACGTTAGCGTGTCGCTCCTCAGCGACGAGGGCAAGCCATGGAAGCGGGCAGACATTGAAGACGGCAGATGCTCACCATCATCACGAGCGAGTCGATGCGCGAAGACCCGGAACCTCTTCCGACGATGGCGCTGGCTGCTCGATACCTTTCTTCTGGTCGTCATCGTCGGCCTGCTCCTTGAGAGAAGGGGCATTTCAACAATCAGCACACCAGACAAGCGTCTCGAGCCAGTCGGCGACCTCACAGGATTCGCACCTGAATGTACGCCAATACATCCTCCGTCACTTACTCACTGCTACCCACAAAATAGATCAAAACTAACAATGTGCAACAGTCTCCCAGCAAATAACAACCTTCCACCCAACAACAGATTTCGTCCCCGACGACCCAAAAGCCCTCTTCACAAACGCAACTCTCCAGGAGCAGTGGCTCTCCATCGTGCCCAAGGGCCTGGGCTACCTCGAAGTCAAGGACCCGAAGGCCCACGACAACCTCCCCGTCCCGTTACCCGAGTTCGCCCCGCGCACCGTCTTCACGACCTCGATGACGCACCAGCTCCACTGCCTGTACGCCATTCTCGAGAGCTACGCGGGCATGGCCGTCAACGGTAGCGCCAACGTCGATATGCACTCGCATATCCCCGAGGGCACCGGGGGCGCGGAGGGGCCGTGGCATTTGCAGCATTGCTTCGAGTATCTGCGGCAGGTGGGTAGTCATGTTCTGTTGTTTTGTGTTTCTCTCTGGAGATGTGTCTGGTAGAT